TTTAAACAGTGCCATATTCTGCAGAGTGCTAAATCCCATCAATTCAGCTGGCCCGAAGAGTTCTTCGCTTTCGCCGGCCTTCTTTCCAGTAGCCGCTGTCGCCGTCTGTCTCACCTCGGCCGCCGGCTCCCTCGGTGCACCCCTGCCTCCGAGGGTTGTCTTGGCGGGCACCCCCGAACAGACCTCCGGTTCTTTCGACCCCGAGCCGCCACGACAACCGGTCATCCGGTTTCTCTGAGCCTCGTCCGAATAGCCGGCGCCGGTCAGGTCGCCCGATCGGACGGAAACCTTGGCCGTTCCGACGTCCGGGCGCAAAGGCGAGTCCCAGCCAGACAATGATCTCTTCTTGATCGCGCTGTTCGTCATCATCATCTTCATCTCTCCATCCGCACGGGGCTGGTCGGACTCGAGCCTCGAGCCTGTCTGCTTAGTCGCCTCGGGTGCTTTCGGCGGAGGCTCATGATTCTCGACCCCTTTTCGAAAGCGCACAGAAACCGGCATCGCTTCCACTTTTTTATTGTTCTTTTTATTTTTATTCCCCTTCTTCTTCTTCTTCTTCTTTACACCACAACTCGGCGACTCGTTTGCGACCTCACATTTGTCGTGGTTGTCATCGTTGTCGTCTTTGTCTGAGGATGAGGAGGAGGAGGAGGAGGAGAAGGGGGAGGCGGCGGCGGCGGCGGCGGCGGAGGAGGAGGGTGCAGGTGATGGAGCTGGGTAGGAGGCAGCGGAGGAGGGTGAGGCGTGTAGGGAGTATGGAGAGTGTGAAGAGTAAGGAGAGTATATGGAGGGTGGGGGGGAAGAGGAGGAGGAGGAGGAGGAGGAGGATGTGCTGGAGTCGCTGCCGCTCGAGTTGTTGCTGTCGGCGCTGTCGTATTTGTTGAGGAGAGCGATCACTTCGCCGGAACTGCGGCACTGATCAAGTAGATCGCAGGCATAACGTCGGCACTGTTCAGAGAGTTGGTTGAACATCTCTTTGAACTCATTCTCCCGTGAGGCCAGATAGCAGAGCTCCCAGGAGAGCTTGAAAGCAGTGAGCAGAGGGTCGGACGATGTGAGCGAAATCCAGGCTGGGCTGGCCAGCGCCTTGTAGGTGTTGATGCGCTGGAGAGTGTGTTTCAGCGAGTCATGCTTCAGCAGGTAGAGACAGCGATCGCAGTCACACGAGGACTGGTGGGGCCGGTCAATGCGGGCGCCGCGGTTCAACAACAGTTGAAGGATCTCGAACTGGTTGCAGATGGCGGCCAGCATGACGGGTGAGATGTCCGAGGCGAAATCGTGGCTTTCGTCGTTGCCGAGGCGATTGAGCGAGATGTTGGCCGGTCGGGCCCACGAGGTGCCCAGCATCTCTTTGCTGATCGAGCCGTGGTCGATCAGCATCTCGACGATCCGATACACGCCCTCCTGGATCGCGTAGAGCAGAGCATCGCCGATGTGGATCTCGGGATGCCGGAGCAGCAGTTCGACAATCTCCACATTCTCGTTGTCAACCGCGATCTGGATTGCCGTCCGGCCCAGCATGTTCACACAGTTCACGTTGACCGGCCGTGGACAGCTGAGACACCGGGCCAGGGTGGACTTGTCGCCGCGTTCGGCCGAGTCGAGGAAGGTGCGCTCGAGGGGCGTCAGCTTGTGGCTGCTGGGGAAGGGACCCTCGATGAAGCTGCTGCTCATGCTCGTCGACAGAGCGGCCGCTTTGATGCTGCGCTGGTTGGACGAGCGTCTGAGCATCCTAGCAACGGATAGCCTCTTCGAGTGGTCCAAAGGCAGGGCTAGGCCGATTCGAGTCCGGACGAGTCGGCCGGCTCGATTAGGCTTGCGGGAGGATGGGCCACGGACATGATGGATGGACAGGCAGACGACGAAATACATGCTCCCAGACGAGGGGCGGGCGGGCCGGCTTCATTCTCGCACTGGCCGCTGCTGTCCAGTCCCGGAACCGAGTCCCGCTGGTCGGCCGAAGTCGTGGGAAGGCCTCTTCCGGCCCCCGGGGACCGGGCTTTTTGGGCTCTCTCGACGCGTTTCGAATCTTCGCAGCTCGTCTACAGTCGGCAGGGGTTCGAGGACTGCAGCGGAACTTGTGCTGTTGTGATGGACGGATGTGCGTTTTAGGCAGAACAATGCCGGTCATGCAACTGCAGTGCAGACGATGCCGATCGGGT